TTTCATCATTTTATCGCTTCCTTTTTCTTCTATGATTGTACCAAACCCACATTGCTTGACAAATTCTTTTCAGAGCAATTGATTCAAACAGATAGTTCAATTGCAGAGAAGGAGGAATTAGTAAGGCCAATCCACTCCAGTCTAATAAGCAAGGCTCTGAATCATACTTTGCTCGTAGGCCATTTCCTTTGGATTTTGTCTATGGAAGAGAATAATTTACTCATTGTTTCTGTAAGTTTCTACAAAACTTATGATAGGGAAATATTTACAAGGACAGCCATCTAGTCCAGGTGGCTCTGCTTCTCTAGTCAGCAAAGACAGCAGAAACTCCCGTTTTCCCCCTCCCCTTCAATCCCGGCTCTGCCAGGCACTTACTCCTTAAACTCACTCCCTAAACTTACTCCTCCTTGCTTGCTCGTTTGCTGTGCATGTAGAAATGTTGCCGATACGGAAGCAGAAGATATATATTGCTCCCCTTGCCTTTGTTCGGGGCTCAGACCTTGGGATATTACTCCCCTCTGAGCCCACCAGTATGAAAATAAAACCTCAACACTCCAAGACCTCTGAGTGCCGCTTGGTTCTTCCATCAGCGATCCAGTCCAGGTTTTTCAGTTTTTTCCATAACACTTATAGAGCAACTTGGTTTCAGAGACACTCCAGTAATCCAGACCTAGGTGGCTCACAGTGTCTTTCAGGTGATGAGAAATAATGAAAGGAAGCATTATGGGGAGATTCTTCTTTTCCAAGCATCACTTTGCATACTGGCGCTCTGCCCCTATGGTCCAGCTACACTAGGCTAATTAATGTTTCCTGGATACTCAGTGCTATTTCATGACCTTGTGCCTTTGCTTGTAATGTTTTTTGCACTACTTTTCTAGGTGTTGAGTTCCTACTCATCTTTTAAGATTCAAGTCAAAAATTAACTCCCCTTTGAAACTTTTTAAACTTGCCTAACCAATGTTTTTCCCTTTATTGTGTTCTCCTGGCACCTTGATCATATGATAGCATTTATCTGACTACATTTGGTACTTGCAGGTCTATCTACTAACCTAGACTGAGAGTTTCTAGAAAGTAGGACCTATGTATTTGGTTTCTAACACAGTTTAGTCACCTGATATTATACTTATTCCATGTGCTGCAAGAGAATTTGAAGATCTCATTACTGAAACCTCCCTGAGAGTAGGTAGCAGGACTCTGTTTGGTGTCCTGCCCCACAACACACACACACAGTGTAGGGCAGTGTCATGTACTTAGCCTTCAATATGTTAATGAATGTAATGATGATGTATTTTGAAGTGTCCCTAAGACCCATGAAATGCAAACATTGTTCAAGCTGTTCTGTTCAGCTGTTACACATTAAAGGGAAAACAGTAGTACAGCCAGCCTTTGAGAGCCAATCCATTCTGCTTTTGCAATTTTTAAAGAAGAAAGAACAGTTGGGCTATAATCATCCAGTTTGTACAAGGGTATTAGTGGCAGAGGGGTTTACATATATAAAGAATGTGAAACTGAATAGTTATTTCTAATTGGAGTTCCACTTTATTAATCCTAGCAAGGAAAGGAAATTTCCCTGTTGCTAAACCCCAGAATATCTCTTTTTCTGCAAGATTGACCTAATCTCAACCCATTTGCCTTGTGTGAATGTTTTCCAGGCCTCAGTTACCTGCTGTGCACCATGGACATCTTATAAGGTAATAAATATCCACTGAGCTAACTGGCTGAGCAATTGATTCAAAGGAGCCCAGCTTTTACTCAATCATCCCTGTATATTTCTCTTGCTGTTAACTCTACAGAATTTAAAACAAATTAAGAGCACACACAATTATTTAGAGTACAAAATGTGTAGGTATGCTAACATAATATGGGGACAAACCTGGGCAATACTCCTTAGTATATGGAAGTGTCATAGCTGGTGTGGCAGCTTCAGTAGCAGAAGAGCCGTGGCTCTTTAACTTGACAGCCTCAGTCGGCCTACTGAATAGACATATGTTCCTCCTCCCAGAGAAACAGAGCATCTCTGAGACCTTTAGGAGGCACATCTATGTGCATGTACATGTGTGAAGTGACTGTATGAGAGAGGTAGAGTATTTGGAACAAAAATTAATAGAAAAGGAAAAACTGGATATTTGATTAATTAGTTTAGAATTCTTTTACTTAAAATCATCCGTGTGTGTGTTCTAGAAAGACTTCCTACAAGATAACAGAATTGCAGCTGTTACAAATCTCTTTAAGAATGCCCACAGAGACTAGAACACTCCCAAGCTGATGCCATGTACTTTTCTATACTTTTTTTTATTGGCATAAATGTGATGAAGCAAGTATCACACACTTATACTCATGTGATACTAGCAAAAGGGCTGATTATTGTTCTGCGGGCAACACAATCAAACCTCTCAAAAGCAGGGCAATGTTTAGAGGTTAAAAAGGTCCCTGATGTGATGGTCCATGAAAGAGTAACACCCAAATGCTGTTTCTCTAAATTTGGGTTCTTCTATTTTTGTCCTCATTTACAGCTAAAATACAGCTCAATTAGAGGCATATCCTGTCATATGTGCTGTAGTTGGGAGCATCGTCAATCCTTAGGGGGAAAACGCACACCCACGGTGACATAAAAAGTTATCATGGCAGCCTGGTATTTTCATTCCAGGATAGGTAAATGCATCCTGCTAAACCATGGGACTGTATCTTTGACTACAGAGCAATGAAAAGTATGAAAAATTTGTCACTGTAAGTGTGGTTAATGACTGAGGCACTAGTGGCCTGTCCTAGCTACTGCTGTCCACTTGTTTTGGTCATTGGAAATGGTCATCCACTATGCCACTGTCATATCCCTGTGCCAGTTTTGGTACTGGCAACTGGGTCCTGCTATCCTCAATACCTAAAATGTACAAGCAGCTTTGAGCAGAGGTTGGAAGAATTTTGAAGAGTGTGATAGGAAAAGCCAAGATTACCTGGAAAAGACTATTGGTAGAAATATGGATGTATCCGTGAGGATATGTTCAATTTAACCCATGAATGACACACTCTGGCTAAATGAGGCCTCTAAGGCACATTTGGATGACATTTATTCAAAATGGTTATCAGTTCTGATTCTGGCACCCCTTACACACAAACTGGTTATAGTCAGCTGGTGTAGATGGAGAGATGATTCTATTAGATATTCATTTTTCCCCAAGTGTTCATTTGGACAATGGATGCTTGGAAAATTTGGACAGAGGTAGCTGGGGTCTTTGAAAAATTCTTCAGTGAACTTGATTGTCTCAAGATGGGGGCAATGTGCTGGTGAGAGAGGTGAGGAGGGGTGCTGCAGATCGCTGCCCTTCTCTGTCCTTTAAGGATTCCCTGGCAATGAGTATGTGTTCTCTCCAGGTACAAACACAACTCCTGGAGAAAAAAAAAGCCAGTGTTTGTTTTGCTTTTAAGTAATTGCAGGTAGCTTGAAGAAAGTGGTTGTTTTTTCCCCCATATTTGTCCCCTAGGCTCAATACAAGGCAAGGATGTAATATACACTCAGACAGTGGAGACATGAGACTGAATGTTACATCACAGTGCAGTGGTTCTCAAACTATGGTGGCATCAGGTTCAGCAGATTCCCAGGCCTACCTTAGAACCATGGAAGCAGATGGAACACCCACAAGAGACCGGAGCACCACGTTCTACTGCAGGATTAGTATGCGCTCTGTGGAACTACGGCTTCCTGGCCAAATGTGTTTATCTCAGCATTTCTGTAAGTTAAGCAGGCTTCCTTAACACAGGGCTTTTGAGAATTCCATATGTTAATGCACATTTTGAATCCCAAAGAAGGGAATAGTGTATACCAGTGGTTCTCAAAGCATGGTTTCCCAGGACCAGCTGCCTCAGCATTACCTGGGAACTTGTTAGAAATCCAACAGTCTTGAGCCTACCCCAGGCCTACTCATTCAGAAACTGGAGCTGGGGTCAAGCTTCCAGGTGTTTCTGATGTGTCTGAGAGCCAATACTCTTGGCAGTGTTTTCCAAAACTCTTTTTCATCAAGCATGTGGCAGGGCTAATATTTTCTACTGTGAGAAATGTGACTGAGTGTGTGTGTGTAATGAAGATGTATGAAAGTATCACCACATGTAGCGAGATTTTTTTTGAGGATTAATTATTGATTTGTTTAACCAATCATCTTCTGTTAAAAAACCACTTGAAACAGCTCAAAGAGAATGCTGGGAGTAAAGGTTTCTGCCTGAGTATTTTGACCACTTAGTTATGCCATGCTTCCGTGAGACACCCATGTACTGATCTGTGTATTACCAGCAGACCCACACTATTCTGGAACAACAAAAAAGCAAAAGCAACAACCAAAATAGTCAATAACCAAACCTTCAAGTCCTTGGAGCAATCACTACTTTTCTGTATTGATTGAAAATTAGTAAGACTTACTGAGTGAGTCTACTCATGGTACATGGTACAGAGGTTTCTGAGTCCAATCTTGGCAGGCAGCCTCACTTCATGCAGGTAGGCTGTAGAATGAGGGTTAAAGATGGAATCACAAGGCGGCTGGGCTGGGCTGGGGTTCCTGCCAAAGCTGGTGCAAACATCTTAGGAATGGGCAGCTTCCCCTCTGTGCAAAAGCATGCTGCGTGGGGCCCAGTAACTTCTTTTGATGGATGCCCTGAAAATCTCAGAGGTGGAAAGGACTCTAGATATTTAGTCCTGTGTCTTCCCTCTACTGAGAGAAATGAGCAACAGAGAGGGGAATGACAATGCGAATGTCAAGAGAGACTATTAGAACATGGGTCTCATTTGCACAGCTCCATCACTGAACAGGAGTGAGAGTTCTTCTGTTCCAATCTGAAGTCCAAGTACAATAAATGCACTTCACAGAGTGGACATGTTGATATGATTCTCTAGACTACTGTAGATTATCTGAGGGCAGTGACCTTATGTACATAATTCACTGTTTAACTCCAGTTTCTATGACAGTTAATGGCATGAAATGGACACGCAATAAATATATGTTGAAGGGTTTTTCTTTGAATGAATATAAAGAGTTTATTCGGTGCGTATTTGGGTATACAACAACAAATATTAAACAACTTTTAAGTTTTCTGTGCACAGGACAGACAACTGCCTGTACCTGCTATGTCCACTTTTGGAACACAGATTTTAACAATTATTAATGCACAAAATCTTACATATCATGCAACTCTATGCCAAGATTCCAACTTTCTTCCATGCAACAGATATGAAGATCTAAATGGAAACCTAGCTAAGTCTTAAACACTTTTCCAGAAGCAAGTATAAGTATATGGTGTTTAGGGGTAACCAGTCTTAACATTTCCTTGTACACAATATTCACATGCCAAATACAATGACGGGAGGACTCATACATATACAGATAAGACGTTTCTTATTTTAACAACACAAAGGACAACATCACAGTTCCACAGTTCCTGTCTTTACACAAGAAGCCACAACAATAGTGTAACATGATAACGCAAATGGAATTAAGAGAAATCTACACTTGAGGATAATCTTTTTTTTTAAGTAGTCTTTACTGACTGGGGTTGACAATACAACTCAATTTCTACGCACAAAGTCCAGCACAAGAATTTGACCAGAATACTACACACCTAAAAAAAATTATTGGTGATGTCGCAAGAACACTGTTACCTTGAGCCTGAGATGCCAATTCAGATTCAACCCTGAATTTGGTTGATTTGGATTAAGTGACACAGAGTCAATAGAACCACTGAATTCCAGAAATCATAAAGTTGCGCTTACACCAAAGTAAAGAATACAGTTGAACCAAGCGTAGATAGAAAACATGAAGCCAAGAAAACAACACAGTTCACATAATTTAGTTTGCCCCTACAAAACATGTAAGCAGTTGATTTTGTTTTGTTTTGTTTTTTTGTTTCTGAAGAACAATTGTGGTCTTTTACATTTTCTTGGTTGGAGAGCAAATTTTTATCAGCATTAGTGCTGTGAAATGTTTTTGGTTTGTCATCCCCAAAGTATAGGTGAGATCATGAGAAAATTGGGCAGTCCTTCTCCCAGATTTAGTTCACTGATAATGCTTGGCTTTCTTTTGCACAAGCTCAATCTAAGTGATGGGGCTTTAGAACGGATGGAAAGGTTTAATGGCAGATCGAATAGTGAACTCTGCCTGTTTGGTAAACGTCATTGACGAAGTTGAACTTTTGGGTGAAGGACTGCTGCTAAAAGAATTCAACAGCACCTGGAGGTAAGGTTCTGTTACAGAGCCCTTGTTTTGCCCTCACTGGCTACGTTGATTCATTGTGGCTCATTGATTTGCCTCCGTTCAGCACGCCGGAGACACTTCTGCTCTTGGTTGGGGTCCCGCTTCCGGATCGGGAGAACTCTGTGAGATCATGCAGGGATGGCTCCTTGTACATGGCCACTGAAAAGCACAGAAAGATGGAAAAAGGCCTTCAAATGGGCACAGCACACTGGATCTCAACTTTTTTTCTGGCTTACAAGGCTCCCCTACTCTAATCCAAGCATAGAAAATGCCACTTATAAGGACTCCACAGAGAGTGGACTGCATTACATTAGCAAAATCAAGTCTTGGGGCAGTAGTAGTGTGTAAAGAATTCTAGTGCCTAATTTTTTCACTTATGGTTATATATATGAGAGGATTAATGAAAAATGTATGTAATAACACTCTGAGAAGTTTAAATTTGAGCTACAGCATGCTCTGCACGCCAAACATCAAAATCAAAAACATTTTAAAACACTGATTTGTATCATACTTTAAAATGAACCTTTCCAAGCATCTAAGTCTTAGCACAGTTCTTAATGCAATAAATGGCAAATATTATTATTGCTGTGCTGTAAATAACAGCCAAAGCTCACACTTACGGAGCACTTATATAGTGTTCTAAGTGCTTCACATGTATTCTCTCATTTAATCCACATGAGATTCCTGTGATAAAGGTACTCATCCATATTTTACAGAGGGGGAACTTGAGGCACACAGGTCAGTAATCTGCCCAAGACCATCTGGTGAGTAAAAGGTAAAGCTGGGATTGAACCCAAGCAGTCTGGCTGCAGAAAATGTGCCACTGAGCACTGCTGGGCTGATCTGACTGGGCAGTCTGCCTCTCTTCTAAGTCCCTATCTTCTAACCCTGGGCCGGTTACTCAAGAGTTCTTGCTCTGTTTTGCCTGCATTTTCTATCCCTTCTCTCCATGTCTCAACTATGTCTAACATCCCTATCTTCTGCAGCCCAGTCCTATCTCTCAGCCTTTTCAATTTGCTACCAGTCTGTTGGTAATGACTGGGAAACAACACTACAAATGAAAATCATTGGGACAATCATGTCGGGTCCTTAGAGAAGGCCTAAGGAGCTTTCTCCCAAGTGTTAAGAGTACACATATTTTACCATCCGTGTTTCTGCCCGGGACCATTTTGGTAGCATTTGCAGTTCTTGGCTGTAGAATGCTAACTGAGTTAGCAATTCAGCTACTTCCACGTGAGTAAGGTGTCATATATAGAGATGTACTATGGAGAAATTAGTCAGATTAGATGCTATTGTCAATGCTTTAATGTTTTTAAGTGTTGTAACATGTTAGTGAAGTTTTGTATAAATGCTTTAATGTAGGAGAATTATGTCCCACTTTCAAAAGCACGACAAAGGACTGACCTAAGTACTGATTCCCATTTAATCCACAGCTCTTGTAGTATCCATTTACCTTTCAGTGGTTTGGGCAGAAAATGGGCAGCAGGCTTGTTCTTTTTCACGTGGTTTCCTTTCATGATCTCTCCTTCTTTGTTCAGACCCAGATACCATCCTCGGCCTGACTGTTGCTGACGGTATATCATTGAAGAATATGTCACGTAATAATTTTCAAACACCGATTCTTTGAATTTGCACTCAGGTGTGAAATGTTCCTGCAGGATAAGTAAATAAACCAAAGCTTAATATTTATAGCTATGAATTTCATGGAGAACCATGTGGTATTGCTGTTCAGGAGTTTAGCGCGTACTCTGTTAAAGCCTATACGATTGGTATTCTATTTTAATAACATAAACTATTATCATTGGAAACCAAGACTATAGATAACACTTCATGTGATGCTATAGAAAAAGGCCTAAATGCAAGTGCTACTGATCAGTGATTAGCTCTCTTTCTAATAAAGTGACAGAAAAATTAGAACTGGCCACATAAGTATAATATATTGGACAAAAGCAAGAACCAAAGATCGAAAATGCAAGCATACAGCTGTCACAAGGAGCTTTGTTCCCTCAGGATTAAATATGATAAAATAAACATTAGATTCTTATACTTAATTTTCATAGATTCTTCATTTACTATAATTCCTATAATTCTATAATTGTCAATTGCATGAGGCGGAGGTGTGTGTTGCAATGTTACAGTGCTGGGTGCCTATATTTCTAAAGGGGTGCTACAAAGAAAGGCTACCTTTTACCTTTAGGTAAACCAAATTCATTTTTTATTTTTATCACTGGACCTGGACTTAAAAAAGACAGAAATTCCCTCTTCAACCCATCCTTGCCTTACAGTAACATTTACAAGCAAATCAATACAGAAGCAAAGAATTTACAGTAATTCTACAAGCAGACATGAGAGAGCTGCCCAGGGCACTTTGAACCCTCACTGCGATTTTCTGCCACATACTTGGCCATCTTTTCTTTGGACTTGCCCATACAAATGAAGGGTTTCTGACCCAAAAGACTGTTTCAGAAAAGAAAACCAAAACTAAAACTGAAAACCTTTCAAGTTTGCGTACATGTGTGTGTATGCAATAAACAGCTATTAAAACTGGCCATTTGTAAGCGAAGTGAAATGAAGAGCAAATTTCAACCTCACAGTACGCAGAGTAGCAGAAGGTCCACTTGGAGTGGAAGATAAGGATGGCAATGCTAACTGAGCTGTGTGTGACAGTGGCACCAGGGAAACCATTAGATTTGTACTTATTTGCTGAGATGTTATCAGGAATAACCCTTAAAAAACCCACTTTGTAAAAATACTGCAAGTTTTCTGGAAACTAGTCTTTTGTGAGCGATGCCTCCTACCTTCCTTTCTTTCATATTAGATATCATTGTAGGCAGTGCACCCTATCTGAGCAGCAGGATCTGAAGCGCTCTCGGAGAGTCACTTCTGCAAAGAGGGATGGATCCCTCAAACGATGCAGCCTTTCTCTGAAAGTTAAACAACTGAGCAACTTTCTTTTCTCTAGAAATCCATGACATCTGGTTCACTCAGATATCTCACTGATTCCCCACATGTCTCTTTTGGGGTTACTTCAGCCTTAGGGCCTCACTTGATACATCCTCAGAAGTTCACACAAATTCAACCTACTCAAGAAGAAATGTACTTCTACAGCAACTTTCCCACTGTAGGACTATAGGAACTGAAGTATTCTATGCATGGGCTGTGGGAAGTCCTCTTCATAGGATTCTGATCATAGGGAAAACCAAGGTATGCCTACAAAGAAACGTGACTAGAAGTCTCCCCATTTCCTCTAGATGAGGACAACTGCACAGAATGTTGCTGAAATTCTTTGGCAACTATATCACCATTTGGAAAAATATCTCATCCTTAGAGAGAGTGGATTTTACTTTCACAAAGAGTCAGAAGCCATTTGAAAATAAGTATGGTGAATAACATATATGATCAAGGTGAGTGATACTATTTAGCTGTACAAACATACTGTATGACCGACTACAAAATGTGTGATAGCATTCACTTGCTCACTTTTACACATGTTCTGGCGATCCATTATATGCTTGGGTGGTACTAAAAATTCATGAGTAAAGAAGATGTGCCTCAGAAAGCTTATCATGTATTTATTTGTAGGTGTCAGACATGTACCCAAATGGCCTGGACACAAGGTGTGCTGCCATTAGGTACAGAAAGGGAGGCAGAAAGGAGGTGTTATATGAGAACAGAGGAAGCCTTAATTCTGACTGGGGGACTGGGGAGGGGTGCGCTTCACAGAGGGGGTGTTATTTTAACTGAGCCTTGAAGGATGGGTAGGAATTCAAAACAGAAAAAGGGAAGGAAAATATTTGCAGCACAGAGTCATGGTTGCTCTAATTCCCACTTCTGTGTGCCCTGTCTCGGTAGTTAGAGTCCACTGGCCTGATAACTGATCACATGCAAGACTTCAGGGCACCTCCAAGTTCATGCACATGCTCTCCAGGCCAAGACTTTTTTTACCTTCCATCCCTAGGTTGTGCCTTTTTGCCTCTTCACTGGCCTGCGGCAACAAACTCCTAACGGGGCTCTCCCCTTCTGCTAGCAGACCTCCCTCCTAAAACAAAGTCCCCTTCCTGGGGAACTTCTGAAGTGTCATCTTGCCTATAGGAAATATGACAGCTTGATGTGGCATTTTAAATTCTCCACAATTCAGTCACTATCAAGCCTTCAGTCTCACCCTTGACCCCAGTGTCACGTGTGCTTCTTTGCCTTTACAGACGCCAAGAGTCATGGCCCAGCTCATATACGCCTGCCTCTGGAGTCATATAGGATCTCTCCCGTTCAGGTGGATTATATGCCCCTTCGTGCTCCCATAAACTCTATCTTCATCTCTAGCACAGCGCTGTGACTCAGGCGCATTGCAAGATTGGCTCCAGATGACAGGGAAATTGTCTGATTCCTGAATTCACGTTCTACTCACTCTCCTAAATGACTGGTCATATTACATAGCACGCAGCAGGCCACTCAATTGTTGTTTAGAGGATTTGAATTTCAGAGATTCAGAATTAAGTATTGGAAAATCCAGGATTCAGAAGTATCCACCAGTAAAAAGCCTGCAGAATGTCCTTAACACCGTATAATGAAATGCAGAAGGAAGTTATCCTTGCACAGACACATCCTGCATGCGGGATATAGAATCTGTCAATACTACACAGATACTGGCACCTAAAACATGAGAAGGAACAACTGGCAATTGTTACAGCTACTGGAAAATGGCAAGGAAGGACTCAATGAACTGAGTGCTCTCTCACATCCTGGCAATTTCTTAGTCATCATCACTAAATTTGGACTCAAAAACTCAGTAGAGAGGGAGGAAAATGAGGCCAAAAAAAGAATGCTGAAGCAACCAAAGGAGTGTTCTGTTCTCTGCATGTAACACTGTCATTTGATCCTGTGTTGGAATGAGTATGCAGAAGAGACTTGATTTGTATCAAATGTGGAAAAAATGTGAATATCCCACCTAACAGAAGAAGGGCCACCAAAGGGAAGTGGGGTGCAGTGGCATCTCTCTGTCTCAGCAGTGATTCATATAAATGAATCCAAGATATTGGAGTTGACCGCAACTAGGGAAGCCCTATTCAGAGGATATCAGGAAGACATGCAGCAAGGAATCACCCTCCTTTGATTGATTTGGAGATGATCCTGAGTGCTCTTCAAAAAGGTACCACAGTGGCCTGGACACATAGTAGATGCTACAAAGAGGCAGCCATCACTGTGCTCTGTGTTGAATATGCATTACGTATATATCTGCTATCATAATACACAGAGGAACGATTTAAAAGGATGTCAAGCATTCCCTGCATAGGCACTAAGAAATTACTTGACATGAGTACAAAAGAAAAGGTGCTTTGTATCTTCTAACTTATTATGCATTCATTTCTCTTAAAAGTCGCTGACTGACCTCTCTTGCATATCTGTATTTTTTTCCAGAGGAATAACGTCCTTTTCGTTCATGAAATAATCAGTCTGTCTTTAAAATCTCTGCATCATCATCTCCATTCCCTTAAAGGTCAAGGTCAGTGTTTTCTCAGTGAATGTCGAGCCTTTTTACCTAAGGAATCCATACCAGTTTGTTATAATGATCATATTTTGGGCAAGGAAGGCAGAATCTACCTTTGAAGAATGAGTGGATCCAGGAGCAAAATCTAACAGTTCTTTTTACTAATTTACTCACTTAAGAGCAAAAGAGTTCTTTGGAGGCTGAAGTATCACTGATGGGAAGAAAACATCTGAAACCCTCAACATCATGTCAATAAAATACTAGAGAATATTTACAGTCACAAATGCTAATGGTCAACTGCCCTTATCAGGGCATATTAGACCTCCAGAAAAACTTTGAGAGGCAAGTGAAGAAGGCATTGACACAGTCAGCAATGTTGGCTATATGCAGATAACCCTCAGATCCAATGGAGTCCCGCAATAGAAGGTTTGGACCTGTATAAGTCACTCTTCTCTACAGGGACAGAAGAAACCACCATACCCAGGTGCCACTGGCACCACGGCCAAAGCATGGAGAGGGTGCAGAAACTCTCTGGCCTCCTGGAGCTAGAGGCAGGTCAGAAGAAGCATGGGTTGGTTGGGATGGTGGCTTCCCTGAAGTAAGCCAAGGAAGGGCCATCTCACTCAGCTGGTGACATGTAGCTACATGCTCAGTAGGCACAGCAAAAATATCTGTATATCATCAATGTCATCTCAATGCCCTAAACACATCTACAATGCCAAAATGCAGACACCATGACTAAATGCCTTCCTGATTCAAAGAAGTCATTTGGCAAACAGGCCTTACAAGCAAATTTTTCATACTTTCCCCCCTGCTTTTCTTTTTTCTGCTGTAGTGCCACTGAGAGGGTGGCAGTGTTTCATTTGAGTCTGCCTTTCAGTAGGATGGGCAGCTTTCAGGATTGTCATGTACATTGTGAATGTTTTCTTTTGACACATTTCTCTCAAAAGAGATAATGGGCTGCACTGATTCTCTTGGGTCTTAATAGAGTAACAGAGTCTACTGAGGTTGTCCATACATAAAATGACAACACTAAGCCCCTAGACTGTTGAACAAAGCCTACGATAACATTATTGCACATTAAGTGTCACCTTTCATGTATGTATATGTATGCTATGTGCACACAATCTGATACAGATTAATGTTTCTCGATACATTTCATTTTAC